ATATTCTCATGGTTATCAGTGGTTTTACAGTGGCACTTACAGGAAAAAGGTTATCAAAGGTCACAGGGGGCAAATAGTGTACAACTTTATCAATGGTGACAACGGTGGTAAAAGGTTATCGAGGGTTAAAGGGTCACGCTGAGCGAAACAAAGCGTGTTCTACATCGCGTTTTACTCCACCAGGAGATCAGAGTACGAACTAGGTTTATGTGCTCAAACTTCCGTACTGATGAAAATTTGCTGTCCCATACTAGATCCGGTTACTTACTAATGAATTCTGATTTTTTTACGCGGTTATTCTGGATGTGTTACGGTTTTTTTTTTTGAGATATGTCCTCGACTCCATTGAGGAATTCTCGACCGGGCTTGCTGATGTAATCTGTGTCAACAGCTTGTTCACAGCAGCAGTGGTTAGGAAGACGTTTAAATCTCTTCATAACCGTGAATTGTCAGGTATTTCATGGATTCTCTTGGGTTTTCCCCTGCCGCAACCAATTTAACTGACGTGAGTAGACTGACGAGACTAATTGTAAGATAGGGTCGAAACAAAGGTTTTCAAGTTTGTTTTACCTTCTCGTTTTTTTCCTTCATCTACATTTCCCTCTACTACCCTCAAATCTTTCTAGGCAATAACTGGAACTTTCTTGTTCTTTAGAAGGGTATAGGCTCGGCAGAATCTTAATCTGTCAGGATGGCCCGCAATTTCCGGAGTATTCTACATGCCCTATTGTAGAGAATTCGCAAAAAATTCAACAAGTTAGAATTCAAACGACTATCCTGTTCATTCACCATTCCCCTAATCTTTCGGGAACCGTTCAACATTATTTACCCTCCTGTATACCGATCAAAGTCGTTTCAGAGAAGCCTCTAAAGGCACAGTTCACGTTAACTTTCGACCTTCTGGTTTCAAACGAGTGATGGAAAAGGAGCAAAATTAAGGGTTGGTCGAGAATTTTACGAAAAAAGCTGGCTGGAAGGGTACTCGAACGAAAGGAGCTGCTCGAAAGCGCACGCCATTGGCTACTTTTAGACTTCAGCGTACGTCCGTCCGTCGCATGCATACTGCGACGGCGGGGCTATACTGGTATTGACAGCACTAGGTCACGTGGTAGCGCTGTCAACACCTGTCTAGCGCCGCCGACGAACGGACGTCGAAGTCTTAAAGCAGCCATCGCGTACAGTTGGCTGCAGAACGCTGCCTGCGTGCAAGGGGTGTGTGTACATTCGTGCGATTCGAGCTGCACGCGGCAAGTGCGCGGCGATATTCGTGAAGATTCGAACGACTCTGGCGCCTATTATTGGGGCACAGGCTTGAAGTAGAGTAGGTTAGTATTGCCAGCTGATCCTACTAATCTTCTCCAAAATTGAATCCCAATAATAGGCGCTAAAGTCGTCAGAATCGCTATGAATTTCGCTGCGCAATTTTGTTCTGGCATAGACCAGAACCCGCGGTCGCTCCTTGGTTAGGGGCGGAACTTAAGTATCACTCTTTTTCTTGTTCACCACCCGCAACTAGGGAGTTTGCGTGCATTGCTAATAAATATATCACTGAACAACCGTATTTGTTCGTTCGTTTATCAGGAAGACAACAATCTCTCTGATTATATAAAAAGCGCCACCCTTCCGCTTAGTCAGAACAAATTTACCACGCGCAGCTCGAATCGCACGAATCTACCGGCCCTCGTGTGCAAGGTGCGGGTGCCGGTGAGAATTTTGCAACCTCCACAGCTTTTACAACGCTTAACAACTCGTTCGCCTTGGGTGCATACGTCGGCTATGCCGATTTTGGGGGCCTTACTGCTCCATACCTTGACTGTTATACGACCCGATAGCTTCCCTTAGACTATAGTTGGGAATCACAGATTTCCTAGAGAGGAACCTCAAAAATTAATTTTTTATGTGTGTCTTCAAAAATTGTACAAAAGGCCGGCCTTCTACCACCTGGTACAACACCTGCTATATATTCGGTTCGAATTTGGAAAGTGTATAGGCTGCAGGATGGGAGCACCGATGGTAATTGGTCGGAAGGGATATCAGTCGATGGCAACTGATAAAAAAGTATAGAAGACAAGAGCCGCTGAACCCCTTATACTTTCGTGTTGACAGTGTAAAGCTGGCACTTTAGTAGGAGAGTAAAGGGACAGTAGACGCATAGTAACAAATATTGTTAACTGACTGGTTAGGAAAACTTCTACATCGGCACCAGTTGGCATNAGGAATCGTCAAACAAGGCTGATTCTTCTTCATTTCATTTCTGGTACGCAATTTCTTGTGGAATTCAAGCGAAATTTGAGCGTAAATTTTCATGATGGCTATCACTCAGAAGGACTCTCTACTCTCGTGTACTTTATTCCAGATGCTTCTCAGGAATGAAAACTAGGCGAAATTTCTAGTGAAGCAGCATTGTGTATACGGAGCATGGAAAAAATTCTATGATCCGCTGAAGTAAGACCGCAGATAATCGCTTTTGCACCTGTGACGCTCGCCATTAGCGTGCGTTGTCCAACTGGTATTTTAAAGGCACGGTTCACGATAATTTTGGGTAATTCAAATTATGGCGAAAAATGGAAGATAAGATGGAAAATAATGCGATGGAGGCGAAAGAACTGCGCGAATCGGTGTTTGCAAATGAAAAAAGGCTTTGAAAATTCGTAAAAAGGGGCTGGACGAAGGAGAGTGGCCGCTTTCAAACTTCGACGACCGTCCGTCCGTCCGTCCGTCCGTCCATTCAACGCGTGCGCGACGGTGGTCGCTTGCGTGCTGCGACGGCGGCGCTAGAGTAGTGTAGACAGCGCTGGCACGTGATCTAGTGTTGTCAACAACGGTCAGGCGCACGACGTCGTCGACGCCGTCGCGCACGCGTTGAACGGACGGACGGACGGACGGTCGGTCGGTCGGATGAATCGTCGAGGTCTGAAAGCAGCCAGTGGGGCGTTTGGACGAGCTACAAAACGTGTGTCAGTGCGTACGTGTGGGTCCTGGTGCGAATCGCTGGCTACGGTGAGCAAGAATTCATTCACTCATAAGCATAGGTTAACAAAAACCCTAGTAACAGCAAAAACAGCTCACCTTTTTCAGCCTTTAGGAGTAGGAAATTGAATGAACAAAAAGAATAACAGAGGAAAAAAGGATGGGAGAAAAACATTGTCTCATCACTCGGCAATCAGCTGATTGTGCGTAGGTTCTAAAACGAGTAATTGCAATCTGTATCGTCTCGACACTCATTTGACGTGACATCAATCGAGGGGCGGGAAACCCCCGCGAGCCAGCAGCAGGGAATTTTCATGAACTGTGCCTTTAACTTCGTTGTAGACCAGCCAATCTCTCAGATTCGTCAGAAGTCAAAACGAAGTCCCGTCATTTCGCAGAAGCGGATTGATGTTATGCGTCACTTTAATATTTGCTACTTGAACCTTAATTTTCAGTGCTCTATCCCACACTCAACACAAACTCCTTTGATGATGCGGGCCACTGTGATATACCGGAGCTTCCCTCAAAAGCCAAGCACATTTTCCTCTCGCTCAATCGATTTGAAGTTAAGAAAAATGTAAAACTCGCTATCGAAGCATTTGGTAATTTTCATTCGCTTATTCTGTTTGCGCCCCAAATTAATATATACTCATTTATGCAAAGTGAAGTATATAAGGAAAATACGCAACACTTGTATACACCCGACAATATAGGCTTGTGCGAAATTCTTAGCTGTTCATCATTTTTATACAATCATTCCGGAAAGTAACTACTCTTTTATAGAAGCCGGTCGTGCGTTTAAAGTTGACTCATGTAGGTCGGGCGTAAAACCTGCGATATTGGCCATATACTCTCTATATTTATTAGCCGTTGGTCTTTTTAGCTGCTCTTCGGCTGATGCTTTCCGAAGATGAATTCTCTTCTTGCCATCTCATCGTGGCCGGTGGATACGATCGACTGAACTTTGAAAATATCACTCACTTCGAAGAACTCGTCAAATGTGCTTCTGATATGGGTTTGGGTCCCACTGAAGTGACGTTCCTGCGTTCCCCTTGTGAGTTATTTCATATGCTTCACTTATACATACTGGAGTCATCTTTTTTTTTAGCTAAAAATGTCCGGTTTGAAATAACATGCACCTTTCGAGTGCACTGCCTCACATCTCACTTGCTTATAGTCCCACATATATTTCATGAAAACTCGTCCAGACGTGCATGTTGCCGTGCTTCGACTATGGACTTCTTGAGCTTGGGCCGACGACGATCTCAAAATGGGCCCTACCGCACAAGCACCTCTACTTCTCCATTGGGTTGGCTGACGTGAATATCCTACATGGGAATGGTTTTTCATCACGATATCGTCGCCAAAAAGGTAGAAGAACATGGTACATGAAAACCTCGTAGCCAGAGGCTGCTTTCAGCCCCGCGAGCGGGCGCGCGTGCCCGCCGGGGGCGGCGCTTGCCACTTGTTTACAAACTGGCTGGTGTCATAGTCCGCCGGCCGGCGCGCCGGCTACGAAAGCAGCCACTGAATGTTGTTCGGTACCACAGACCGAATGACTAATTTCTCGGCATTGAAAGCGGCCGCTGAAAGCACACCAACAGAAACACTCAGCGGATTATATAAGTAGGATGTCGAATAGGCGCTCAATTAGGCACTTCGATTCTAAATGGAAACCCAGTGCAGAGTTGCATACCAAAACGTTTTGGTTACCGTAATCTCTGCACACGAATGTGCGCCACATCAAAGAACTCATCAAACCGAAATGATTTCCTGATGTAAACTAATATCTGTCGAGAATCTGGCTATATTCTGTTCTGGGTTAGGGGTTTATGCAGGAAGTTTGCGGACGCTTGGCTCACCGCTTGAAGCCCCTTCGTCTGATTTATCGACCTATTCCTAGTCTTTATCGATTTTTGGGCATCGATTCGGAGTTCGATCCATGAATCGCGTGCGCGTGCCTCTTGCCACTGCACGTAGTGAAAAGGAACGGTTTTTCAACCGGCAATCACCAGCCGTTCCGATGATAACCGATTTCCTGGAGCGCCCAGTAACTATTTATTCGTTACTGTCGCGAGGCGAAGGAGTTCAGTGGATCGTCTGCATTCGAGGAACACCCGGTTTAGCAGCATTCCTTTAATTCAGAGCTTTCATGAAGAAAACTTACCTTTGCGCTTGCGGCCGTCCTGGTCTTCGTTCGACGATCCAAGAAACCACGTCCTTTCCACAACGCGTTTAATGGTTCATCTTGCTTTCATAAAGTCCAAATCTACAGACAGAGGGACCGCATTGTCGAAGGGGTGGACGCGAAGGTAGATGCTATTCGTCTGCTTCACTGCTCCCTCCACATACTTTACTTTGCTAACAACAAGACAAACAATCGCAGAAAATCTGGACACCCTTCTTTCGCGTCACGTTTGCAGAAGTGGACTTGCCTTTCTACCCGTGAACACGAGTATGATGATTTCGAATTCGATGTAATTTACCAAATAGAAGTGAGAAAGTGAGCAATGCCTGGTTTTCGTCTTTTAAGCGGATGAAGAAAAAGCATCGCTGTTGCGCTGCAGTCGTGCGGTTCTGTACACTCCTCACAATGAACACTTCGGAATAGTTCCCGTCGAGGCTATGTATGTTGGAACGCCGGTGATTGCTGTGAACTCAGGAGGTATGTTTTCAGTGAACATTTCTTACCTTCATCAGAGTCATTATGTTTATGTTATTATTCCATGTTGTGAAGTGGAAAATCTGTTTTTGGGATCTTGAATTTGGATGAGAACAAATATATGGTTGAATGCCTTTTCAATTTTCACCAGTGATGAAGGCATCGAATCAGTGCAGTAAAGTACATTTTCATTTGCAGGGCCGACGGAATCTATTGTTCATGGAGAGACAGGATTTCTAGCAGACCAGACACCACAGGCCTTCGCGCAATACATGTTTACGCTTATACGTGATGAAGATTTGAGGGAAAAAATGACCGAAATGGTACGATTTCTTTTTATTGCTGTTTGGGGATTTCAAAGAGTGCGGAGGCCTGGAACCAACAAGGGAGGTCTTTCAAGGCGTGGGACGCTTTTTGAAAATGGTTTTTTGCATGGTATAGGGGCATGAGCACTGTGTATAGAACTATGGTTCATTTCCGCTGAATGGCCTCCTGAAT